ACTGCGCCATCAATCAATTAATTGAGTTCGAAATATTGCAATTAATTGCCCCCACAATCAATTATTCGGTAGGCCTGGTTCAAATCTAGTTTTTTTTTATATAGCGAAGGTTTTTTATACCGAAAGTTAATGTATATATTATTAACTATGTCGATATGTATTAATTAACGTTATATCAAATTTTGATATATCTACATTATACTATATATATATATATATAATAATAAATTAATAATTTTTAGTTTATTAAATATAATAAATTTTATTAAATAGATATTAATAATTTTATAAAAAATTGTAGTTGATTTTATATCATTTTTATACACTTTAACAGTATCAATCAATATCGATATTATGTACGTCCGGTTTCAAATAAAATAAGTACATATTTATTCCAAATATGTGATGTATGAATTTTATTTTTTTATACGTAGCATGCTTATTTACATAATCGCTTAATGGTAGATATTTATCAAAAGAGGCTAATTTTGTCAACGATTATTTAATTTTTTTGATTCGGAATTTTAAAGAATTAAGATCTTTCAAGCATCTACTTATTTGCGAAATAAGTTAATTCTAAAATCCCTACGTACTATATATTTGATAATAATAAATTGAATAATATTAATTAATAATTCGAAGTTCTAATGAGAATCACATTAATCACATTACAAATTACAAATTGCAAATTTTGATGCGTAATAAATTACCAAAAACTTTTGATTCATGTACAAAAATAATATTATTCATTAAAAATCATTTAATGAAAATTTATTTTTATATTTAAAGGTCATCAAACCTTTGTTTTTTTAAAAAAAAAAAAAAAAAAGTGGCAGTGCTTGTGAAGCTTACTAATTTGTTTTATAAAATCATTCCATATGATACTGAGGTTCAAGTGACCGTTACTATATGACATTAGTATATATCAGTATATTGAAAAGTAATATGAATATACATGAAGAATTACAAATCAAATACAAATACGTATTTTATTTTTCTGTTTTTAAAGCAGCCTAATACTAAGTCAAGTGGAGAGTATCCACTAATTTTAGACACATGTCGTCATCCCATAGATAATTTAAAATAAGCAAATTATTGGTAGATGAATAGAGATAAATCTAGCCATAAATGCAAAAAATATCCGCGTGATTTATAATGAGAATCGGTGATACAGCAGTGGTGGTACGATAAAAATGAATCCTTAATATGCACGATATGCACGATTCAGTAAAAGATAATCTTGAAAAGAACCACACAATAACCAGTATTTTTGTGTTATGAAAATTGCAGAGTAACACGGAATGATAAACGAGGGTCCTTTTCTTGAGGATCATTTAAAAAAGAGACAAATTGAAGTAGCACATAGATGCATGCCGCGATAAACAGGATGTAAACAAGTCAGCAAGGTTTGCAGGAAATGATATGACAACGTTTCAAATGAAATGAAATCTGGGGTAAGTAAAGAGACTGACTGATCTACATAATTTGGTTAATATCCGCGTTGTGTTATTCGGATCGGATTTTTCAAAATTCGTTCAGAAATGATTTTGTTTTGGAATCGAAGATCGTGGAACAAAATAAGACACAAAAGGATAGTTATGATGACATTCTTCTTTCATGATTATATGCAATAATCGAGTGCGCATTGAAATTTAAAAGCATATGATTCAGAAACTTAAGCAACCATTTTTGGAGAGTTGAGTCATATGGAGACAAACCATCTATTAGTTATTTTAGAAAAAAAAGTTGTGGTGCTAAGCCTCACCAGGAAACATATATTTTGGGCGGTACTACGAGATAAATTTGCTTAATTTAGCCAATAATTATTACTTGCCCATAGTCTTGATCGAAAATCTGCCGCGCTAAAGACAGATGAGATTACGAATAAGTCGATCGCAACCTTACAGGGATGTTACGTACCGTACCGATTGCATATTGATTGTGAGAAACACGCAGATTGTCAATTCCCCGCACAATGCTTTCTTTGAAAGCTGTCACATAATTCATTTCTTTCTTGTTAATTAAATAAATAGAATAAGTGAACAATAATTATTTTTATAAAAAAAGGAAAATGATTTTTAGTGCTAAATTAGCCAATGAAAGATATAACCTTAAAAACAATTCTCGAAGAATGTGTCTCGAATATCACGAATATCACGAATTGTACACGAATGAATACGAATGAGTACGAATGAATACGAAATGAATACGAATGAATAGGGAATAGTAGAATACTACAGCTTACACTTTAAAAGTTGATAGAAAACATCTCCACAGTTACTAAGGTTACTAAATGTTGTGCAATATTTGAATGTCAACCTTAAACAAAAAAAACCAGATTTACTGATAACGACGACGACGACGGTACCAATGATTTACGGTATCGTTTGGGGCGCTTGCTGTTTTTATATAAAGTTAAGTATTAGCATATATCGTTTGCAGTATCGATTAGTACATGAAAGGATTTAATATATATATATATAAAACGGTACTGTATGAGTCATTGACAAGTCTGTATCTATTCATCAGTTTGCACAAATCTGTGAGAAAATTTTTCGGGAGCTTGTCCATACTTGAACATTTTCAGGTTTTTATCTCCAAAAATAGCATGTTCCACGACCTGACCGACTTGGAATTCTAGACCCCTTAAACCCTATCTCTGTCTATTTTTCACCGGTATTCTCCGGACATTTCAACGTTCGAGAAAAAAAATCAGTTCATTCTCAATAAACACAAGAAAAATGAAACTTGTATAGCTTATAAAATTGGAAAAAAAATTATTTATATTTGTTAAAGAAAATGAAAAATGATGAAAATGATGAAAATGATGAAAAAAAAATATTCATGTGGGCCTTTTTCAGACGAAAAATAGAAATGTAACACTTCATTATTCATTGCATGCAACTTGAAGATTACTCGGCATTTAATAAAATATACATGAGTTCATGAGCTGCCACATCTGTGTAACTTTTCTCGTTCCGTTTCTGTGTCATATGAAATAAACATTGCCTTTTGTGTCTGGATTTTTCTAATTAAATCCGTGTCACCTGTCTAACCTACCTGTCACCCAGAAAGTACCCGGACAAAGAAGGGAGATGACGGGTTCCGCCATCTGCAAACTCAAATCGAATGAATTGTCATTGGTAATCAATTTAAAATCCCCCCACTTGTTTAAACCCCCCAAATCTTAATACCGTGCCACCGTTCAAAAAAGCTAAAATAAAAAAAAACCGGGATAACACGCACTGCACAGCAACAAAACAACACTTTATTCTGCTTACCAGTACAGTATAAACAGATATACAACTAACAAACTGAGCATTTTACTGCTCTTGGCCGATTCGTCAAATGGCAAATAATACTCAAAATACCTCAAGTACGCACTCACAAAACATTCAATATGGCAGTATAAGTATGCCTAATCAACCTCAAAGCCAACAAAGAGATAAAATACAACAGGTTAGTACTACGTGACTTGATAACTCGATGGTTTTTTTTTTTTGTTGATAATTCCGAGGTCAGCAACAAAAAAAACTACAAAATGGTAAATGGTCGCCTAATATTATTATTTTGGTCATTTGGGTGGATAATTGTCATTTTCATATATTCTCGAGACTTTAAAAAAATTTGGAAGTTATTAAGCTACAGGTCAAACTTTGATTTTCGAAAAATATCTTCGATGATCAATGTTTGTAATCAAATATCAACAAAAAAAAAAGAAACAAACTTTAGTTCCATATGTGTTTTAATCAATTTATTTATTCAAATAGAATTCTTTGGATGAGAAAAGACCAAAGAAGGTGGTCCAGAAACGAAAATTAATGGAGAACGAAAAAGATAAACAAAAGGCTGAATATGAAAGTTCAAGGGTAAGCAGAAATTTTTTTTGATAAAAAATTTTTTCCAATTTACTTATGTGCTCATAACAATCTTTTAACATTCATAGAACGAATTTAAGAGCCTCTTATCACAATATGGCTCAAAAGCAAAAGTCGCCGACGATTTAGAAAGAGAATCAACCAAACTTCATGGGAGCATTGAAAATTTATTAGCAAGAGTGCAATCGACTAAAATTAAGGTTGGTTTTTTTTCGGTTTTAGTCATTCTATGTTACTGCGCCACAAATGCGTAAAACTAATTTTATTTCTTTAATTTCTAGCCAATTTCACAATCAACACCACCACCACCTCCGCCGCGGCAAATAATAGTAAAACCGAACTCTACTGACTTTCCGCTAAATATATTGGATACCCTCATAACGTCCATTTTTCTCCCTTTCAACATACTATTAAATATAACGCGAAGTCTAATTCGCAGTGTAAATTATTGTACGGTAATTCTGGCATTTATATTATTGATAGAGTGCTTTATTCTTTTGCTTATTTGGGCGTAAGTAATCATCTATCTTTGTTATTAATTTAAGGTTCAACAGCATGTACTGACTATGTTCAAACATTTAATAGAGTCAAGAAATCACACCACACCTATCTGTACATTGAACCATACGAACCGGTTGTGCATGGAACTTTTGGAATCGACCAACCTGCACCGTTGGGGTTAGTGTGGTCTGTAATAAATTCTATTAAGGACTTTTTTGCCGAAGTGATCAATGGAGGTCGCGGGTTCGGCAATCCTAATTACGATGGCTTCGTGCCAATATGACATACGTACATAGTACATAAATAGATCCTCTCTTAATAATATAATTCAAAGGACAATTTTGCTTGAATCTTTAGAAAGAGAATAATCTTAATTGTTTTGTGTTGGTTATATTGGTAGAGGTTTCTTTTTTTTTTTCTTTTGTACATATTGTTTTTTTTTTGTTTTAAATACTTTTTCGATGTACTTTTTTGTTTTTTTTTTTTTTTTTGTTAGATTTTTTTCCCTTTTAATTGCATTTGCACAGTACAAAAAAAACACACTACGCATTTAAAAAAAAATAAGCATACAATCCACCAACCTAATGCACATTTGTCTACAAATCTTCAATAAAATTGAAAATTTTAAAAACAATTCACTCAATTCACTTTTCTAGGAAAATAATTCGCGCTTACCTAGGTATGTGTAAAACGTAACGGTATTGTATCGTTTAATTCATTTACACTAATAAAAACATCTATATTGATTTTATTGATTCGAATGTTTCGAATTTCGGTTCAAATTTCGGTTCAAAAAACAATTTAATGAATTATAATCTCCCTTTGTGCCCTGACCAATTCATTTTTCTAATTTGGTTAATTGGGCTATCCCGGGAGTAAAAACAAACAACGGATATTACATACGCTCTCATGATACAGATTATATCATTGATGAGTCACTCATATCCGTACAATTTTCATAATTTTCTTCCTTATTTGCAATGATTATTCCTGTTTTTTTTTAAAACGGTTATCAAAAGAATAAAGTTATCAAACAAATAGGCGTCGATATTTCTTTAATAAACATCTCAATTGTTTAATAAACAAACAAATTTGACGTAGTTGTCAATAAACATAGTATTTTGTGACGTTTTTTAATTGTTTTTTAGATTTTTTACCTTTATATCGTTTAAAGTATGATCTGCGCGGCTGATATTTTTGAAGCCGTTAAAAAGTTGCGCATAACAATTTTATTATCTCGATTATACATAATTAAAAAATCTCATTAAAAACTTCTTTTTTCGTTACGTATTATAAATTATTATAGTGTTGCACAAAACTTTTAAGAATTTGAACAAATTCAAGTGTTTAATATTATAGTCTTTTATAACTAAGATAATTAACGTTTACGTAAAACAGGTGAATTACGTATAAATCATACAATATCATATATACAATGTATAATTACAAACCTTTTATTTACAAATGTATAACTTTTGATTATAAATGATTATATTATATATATAAATATCTATATAATAGAATGGTTGAATTGCATTGTAAACAGGTTAAATAATGTTTTCGCTCGCATATAAAATAATAATTACACCCTATCCATAATATAGCTCACCTAGCCAATACTGTATATATAATATCAATTAAGTTATACGTACAAAAATTATATATTAAAAAATAATTTTATGATTTAGATATTTAGTATTGTAATTTATATACTGTATTTATTATTAAAATTAACAATATATGTTTTAAATTATTGATTAATATAATATTTTTTTTATTTGTTTTATTTTATTTTTCTTTATGCAACTTTGTCAATATTTATTAATTAATAAATTTTATTTACAACTTAATATATATAAGAGAAAAAACAAATTTGTATAAATAATAATTATTTTGTTTAATATTCTATCAAATCTAAGTTGAAGACTTAAGACCAGAAGTTCAAAATTATTAAAATTACTTGAAATTTGTTTTTATGTAATTTTTTTTGATTTAAATAGATCATGCTAGTAAAACCAAATTTATTATAGCTATAGGTATATCTATTACCCACTAGGAAAGTATTAACAATAAAACAAAAGTTCTAATATCTTGTGGTTATTTTAACAAAACTAAAGTTAACTAAGTGCCTATAAGTGACTATCACACTAGTAGAGTATAATCAATTAAAATAATACTCAGAGAACTTGTTCAACTACTATCTTACAATAGGATATCCCAATTAGATAATATCTTCTCATAGAGAAGTAAAAAAAAATTATATAAACAAAATACAGAGATATAATAAAATATAATAAAATATATAATTAAAAAGAAAAGATAGAGAAAAATAAAAAAAATAAATACAGAATTTTTTATTTGCATTATATAATCATAATTATAAGCCTGTGTTAGGTTTTGTAAAAATTATATACTATTATTTAAACTAGTCTTTACTTTAAATTTATATAATTAGTATATTTAAATAAAAATTTTTATAAAAAAATATTTCTTTAATACTAGTATCATAGAAAGGTTAGAAATTTGTACTTGAAGTCTTGAAGTATTGTTTATCTAGATGTTATATTTGAAGTATATAATTCTCACTATACTAAATTTATATATTTGTTGTAACAAAATAAAAATAAATAATGTTAACTAATTTAGTAATTACAATATTAATTTTTGAAAAAAGTAAGCTAAATTGTTTACTTTTTACAAAATTTTTTTTAAAAAAATAGTATATAGTTATTTTTTTAAGCTTATATTATTTTAGTAAAGGTTTAACCATTACTTGCTTCTAGAATAAATCTTCTAGTTTGAATACTAAATATTTTAAAAGTCTACTAATAGAAGAAAAACTTGATTTTAAGAAAAACTATTTGAGTTATATCTGCTTCTTGATATTTTATGTTTTTCAAGTTTTATCAATAGCAATTTACTTAGAAGTAAGTTTAGTTTTCAGAACAAATCTTTTAGTTTAGATGTCAAATATTTTAAAAAGTTTATTGTAAAAAGAAACAAATTTAATCTCAAGAAAAACTACCTAAGTTATACCTACTTTTCAGTATTTCCTATTTTTAAACTTTGTTGATAACTGCTTATATAAAAACAGAATTAAGAAAATATTTGTCTTGAACCTTTCTATAATATTTTTCTATAGTTTAGTTTTTTGTATATTAACCAAAAAATAATTAGAAAGAGTTGTATTTTTATATAATTGTTGTTAACAAAATTTACAAATATAATATATAATATTGGGCATAAATATTTTGAATAGTTTGTAGTAAAGTTAAAGAGCTAATTTAAAAACTTAATATAATTCTTTGAAAATTATTAATTAACTATTTCTTAAAATTTCAGAGTTAATTAGTTAACTATTCTTTAAGGTTCTAGAGTTGGTTATTTAATAATTACAAAAATTAAAATATTAATATAAATTTTATATATTTATATACCTCTTGTATATTTTATACATCTTTGTATTATTATATATAATTATACAAAAGATATATAAATGTATATAAAGTATATAAAATATATAAAATTTATATAATTATTTTATTAATTATTTTAATTTTTGTAATTATCAAATAATTAACCTTGAAATTTTAAAAAATAATTAATTAACAATCTTTAAGAAAACTTTTAAATAAATACTTAAAGTATAATTTTAAGTTTTAGCTTAAATTAAGTTTAATTCTAGTTAAAATTTAAAATAATATATCTGGCTATTATTTCAAAATTATATAATAAACTTTTTTTTTTTTATAATAAATTTTTATAGAAAAATCTAGTTGGTGTCCCTGTGCACAGTGTACCCCTATAGCAAAACTATACTTGCAATATAATTTATGTTAATGTTAAAATTAAAGTTAGGTTTAGGGTTAAGGTAAGGTAAAATTGCAAGAAGAACATTTTTCCTTATATTACACAATAGAGATTACATAGTCAAAATTTTGAGATATTAGCAATTTTATAATAGGGAGCACACAGTGCAAAGGGCACTGACTAGTCTTGTTCAATTTTTATTATATTTAGTATTTAAATTAGAAAATTTAAAAGAGAATTTTTATTTATACACAGGATATATATATATAAATAATATAAATATTTCAGAATTTTTTTTTTTTCCTACTTTGGCCATCTTGCCGATATTATTTATTAAGTATCTAATTGTCAAGTAAAACAAAAAGAAAAAAGAAGTTTTTTAATGAGATTTTTTAATTATGTATAATCGAGATAATAAAATTGTTA